CCTCAGAACAGTTAATTGTGGAATGTGAAAGACTTAACTGAAACTTTTTTAACATACTAGTCATGTCGACTTAATTTAACCAGAGCTGTCTGATGGGAGATGACCGAATTATTTTTTGTTTGAACTTTGTTGCTCTGCTGTAGGTTCCTATTCCTGTAGCAGCCATAGCCAAATGGATCGCATGCTTACTCCTCTGCTGCCACTGTTTACAGTGAAAGATAAACTAGCAGCGATTTCGGCAGATGCTGAGAGGAGATGGGAGCCATGACAGCTGGGAAGCAAGTAATGTCAGCTATACAGACAATGGTGTCAAAAGGGTGAACCCCAGCCAGCCGATGGTGACCTCTAGTCTGGAATGATGCTGGGAATGGTTCGAAGCCAGTGCCTAGGAAATCCTTAATTTCACTAAGGGAAGTAAGTCTGTGCCTGCATTAATGTAAAATTACCAAATGAAACTTGGCTGAAGTGCAAGAGAATCAGTTTACATTTACACACACTGAAGTTTCAGCACTTGACTTTCATTGCTGTATTAGCATTTTGAACTTTCTAACAAGGTTCAGGTCTAACTAGACTGGGTATCACAGCACACTGTGAAGACAAATTCAGTTAAGTTTGACTTACCCCGAATATTACCGAATATACTCAAAAGAATTCATAGCCCTATTAAGTCAAAACCATATCATGCAAGATTAGATAATGCTCACTACACCACAAAGCTACGTTAAACACTGCTCCAAAATCAGCTAACTGGCCGCTCAGCACTTTAGTAGGACAACAGTCTGCATTCTAACGAACATTATCGCCAGCTATCAGATGTGGTAAGAATCACACCGTACAGCCAGGTAAGCAGGGCAAGCTCCCACTTTAGAGTTGTTTCAGACCACGTCTTAGAGCCTGTTTCTTAAATTGTAAACTGAGTTAGTAATTCAGTTGAAGTTTTCTTGTTTGAGTACTTCTGTACCCATGAAGGTCTGATGGAGATTTGATTGTACTAGCTTGAGATTCAGTGCTGCTAGTCTAATACTGCCTTTTCCAGACGAAACAGTCTGAGGATTATACCCACATTCTCAACTTCATTTGGGTAATAATACCTCTCACAGTGGGTTTTCAATCTTCATTTTGATTATTTCATTCTATAAAGTAGTTGTCAGATGACTGGTCATCCCTTTGATTTCAAAGCAAGACAACAGCTACTTTTCTGAGCATGACAGTGCCATCAGCAACTGAACCATCTTACCAGTCAAAGAATGCAGACACCTTTTTTTTGTACATTTGGACCTTTTTTGGACTTCTTACTGGTAAAGTAAGTTTACAATGTTCCTTTGGAGAACTATGCTTTTATGATTGCACAGTTGCAAATTCCAAGTGAACCCTGAAAGCAAACTGCTCCGAGGTAAAGCTTTTGGGGTGGGGCAAGAGTTCACAAGCTAATAGCAAAGCTTTGAGAAGTTCTTAAAACCAGTTATGAAGGTTGATGCAAAAATGCTCAAGCCAGATCTAACACTAAGGAGATGCCACAAGAGAAAATTGGTCATTACTGCCTGGTTATCAATACACACATTGTTAAGATAACCAGCAGCACTAACAAGTGGGCTACAGTCAGCTCTCTGCAGCACATATACACGCTTAACCTTGTTATGTAGTCCCCATCAGAGAAAAGAATTTCAACTCCTCCCTCCATCCTCCAACCTAAATCAGCCAATTCTTCACAACAGTCTTTGCTGAAATTACACAATCCATGAAAGACTACAGACTTCTCAACACTCAGAAAAAAACCCTGAGACAATATTTAAAAAGACCTAAGATTTAAAAGGTGCTCATAATAAATAAAAAAAAACACAGCGGGCCCCTTGACATCTTTTGATGGGCAACCTGGAAGAGACTACCCAATGTACTGCCTACAAAAAAGTGCTGTTTAACATAAAGGAGTAAATAAAAGTGAAAGCGTGTCTCATTTTCATCTTTGACTTGTCATTCTCATCCATACTCTTAACTCCCAAAACATTCCTCCTCAATCCCGTCTTTTCTTAGCACTCTATTTTCTTGCACCTGCTTAACAGCACAATCAAGCAGTCCCAGGTAGGGAAACATGTACAAAGACCAAAAGCAGCCCGCAGGGCAGTTACGTACGTATGAAATCAGTGATTTCATGTGCTTTAGGATATTAAGGTGCATTGTATGTGAAATCTTACCCAAGAAACGAATCCTTCAACTGGACTTGGCTAAGCCTTTTTTTCCCCAAAGGAACACTGCCGGCCATAATCAGCCTTGGACAATGAAGCAAGGGTCTCCTAAATCCAAAAGTCTAAAAATAATTCAGTCTCAAGAAACCAAGTGCAGAAGTGCATTCATGAAGAGCAGACAAAGGGAGAAGTATGTTCTTTTACTAAATTTTGGCACCAAAATGGCTTTTAAAAAGCTATCTCCATTTCAATTTTGCTCCATAACATTTTGAGACAAACCTGTAAGTGGGAAGAAAGGGAAAATGTCTAGACGTATCTGCCAGCAAATACAAACAGAACCAGAAATCTTGGACCAGTAATAACCATTTATCCAAAGATAAATGGACTATGGGACAGCATGGACCCTAGTCACGATACAGCACTAATGCAAGTTCCTCACTTTAGCCAGCCTCTCTACATTTTAATGCATTACTTTCAGCATATTTCCTTAATTTTTTTTTTCTATTAGGAAACCCACAGCTGAAGTCTTACTGCCTTTCCAGTGCTAAAAGCTATTTGAAGTAACTCTTAAAGCTTCCTTGAGAGATGAGCATTTCTAAAGCTTTTTTGCATAAATATTAGCTTTATTGGAAAATAGTTCACTTAACCAATCAGATTAACACACACCAAATTATTCTAGTTAAAAAAAAATAAACAAAACAAACTAACCTAAAATGCTTTGGAAAATAATCTTCTTCAGTTACAGTAGCAAACACATCATGGTAGCCTGAAACAAGTAATTGGGGGTGTCTTCATCAGCTAACAGGCAATCAATTCATGTAAACACAGAAAACACCCTGTAATATTTGTATTTATGAATGTACCTGGAGTACATAGTTGGTTTTTTTTAAAAAAAAATCTGTGTAGAAATATGCACAAAACATTGGTTTACATATAATTACAAGTTACGTAGATGTTTATATGATGGTTCATGCTTTTTATCCATATATTTTAATTTACAGAGTGTGCATTAGAACTAGAACTTTCTTAGATGTACATTATTGTATTTTTTTTCCACATTCAGGATAACTGCACTAGATATATGCACACACACACACACAAGTCAAATCTTTAATGGTATCCAGAACTCTGCATAAGCTGCATTTTTATAGCATCTGCAGAGATCAGTGAAAGGCACCAATTCTTAAGATAACAAGTTGAGACCACAGTTAAGTTTTTAGATCTAAAAGGGAAGCAAAAACTAAGATTAAAATTTTGTTACTAGATAACCCAAAAAGGTATCAAAATAATGAGACAAACTCTTCTCTGAATCAACTTTAAAAATACATTTCAGATTTGTTGTTTGAGGTCAGATTTAATTCTTCAGTAAACAACCAGACCACGAGCCTCAGACTGACTTGAATCTTAAATATGGAAAGTAGTAACGTCCATAAAAGCTTACATGCGTTTTTTAGTTTAAAACTATTTTCAATGCACTGTTAATGCCTCTGCATGTCAGAACCAATTCCATATTTAGTTCTGTGACTCATGGGATATGATCATTCTGACATCACGCTATTGGTGGTATTTATTTCCATTTTAATTAGATTTTCTTACTTCTCTGCACAGCTTTTGATAATCTGTACTCTATAATGCTGCAAGTCAGCCTGGTCATAAGCCATTTAACGTCCATTCCGGATGTGTCCTTCAACAGTACTTCAAATATTTTACTTTAAGCTGCCTGCTAAAGATGATACCGCCTTCACAGAGTGGAACAGAAAGCTATACATCAACAGGACAGGAAGACGTAAAAAAAAGGTTAAACCGTGAGCTTTAAGGAGAGAAATAAATTAGTTCTGTAACTATCAAAATAATTAACAATTTTGGTAGGCTGCATTATAAGTCCTAGCCATGCAGGGTTTGAGGAACCCTCTCTCCAGAAGAGCAACTGCCAGCTCACAGCTTTTATATTGCCAAACGATCTTCATATAAGAGCAGCTATGCTTTTTTAGGGCCAGCCAAGTACAACAAATGGAGAGATGTTCACCAACAGAAAGGGACCAATACTTAAGACTGGAAACATTCTGGTCACAGATAAATTCTACATGAACACTGCTAACTCATGCACTTCTACTTCAAAAGGAATACACAGCACAAAGTTAACTACAGTATCCAAACTTACATAAAACACCTCCACAACCATCTAACCTTGTTTTACAGCTCTGCAGGAATGGCTATACTTCGCATCATAGTAACAACCTTAAGATTAGAGACCAAATAAACAGAAAAACTTTGGGAGAGCTTAACATCAACTGTTAGAAAGCAGAGACAAGATGTTACAAAAATGGGGAAGCCAAAACTGTACACAATCTTAGTGTTCATACTGCTTTTCATATCCATACTTCATAAATCTGTGAAAATCATTTAACTACAAAACTTTAGGTAGAAAAATAACTGTAGATCTTGTCTACATGTGTTAACATGTACTAGTATCAATTGTTTAGTCAAGATACAGTGCAATACCTCTTTGAAATAAGTTGCAAAGAGTCCAGAGAGAGAGAGAGAGAGCGCACAAGAGTACCTTACTCCTGGCATTTTTAGTAACGTAGTATGGAATATTTATTCACGGAGGTAAGTCAGAACAGCTACTGTACTTCCAAATGGAACCCAACTTAGTTCACGTTAACTTCAAGCACAGCCAAAGTCCTTGAGATGAGGCAAGCCAGAAGCAACAGTTATCTAGATCTCAAGGAACTTTTCCTACGCCTTCAGGATACAAATCTTAAATATGATCACAGCATTTTCATCCAATAAAAGAATAAGCCGAAGAAAGAAAAATAAATGTAAACCAAGTTTATTTTGCTTTTAAGTAGTGTTCTTTAAGCACTACAGCATGGTAAACAATGTAAATTAGTATAAGTCATCTCAAAAGCCAGAGGTTTTTTTTTTATTTTATGAGTTGTTAAAAAGATGCAGCCTATTCTAACAGGATAAATATTTTAACCATTTCACTTCGAGTTAATGAAGGCTCACAAATGAGCAACACTCCTCATTGAGGAAAACAAAAAGCTGTTGTCGACAAAGCGACAGCACACACACAAAAACAAAAGAACTGTGTAAAAATAACTAACTGTACTGTGTTCCCATACTCTTCAGAAGTTGCTTTACAATGGGATGATATGCACATGATCTTGCTGCAGACTTGCCATACAACTTGCAAATACATGTAGCCTAGCCTTACCACTCAGTCCAAAAAGCTGCTAACTGATCAAAACAAATGCAGCACTATAATCCTCTGCTTAACAATTAATTCAATCTGTTTTACTCATTGCCTTTTCTCCTAGACTGCAGGACAGACTAGAAAGAAAATGATCCCGAATTAAAAATTGATACTCTTACAGGAAATTGTATTATTTTGCAATATAGTCTTTTACAAGTTATGTTTTGCCTATTTTCCCCTTAGCCACAAAATGGGCATGAAGTATTTACTTTGAAAATGCCTTAATTTTCAACTTCATGCAAATCTAAATAAAGATGACCAAACAAAAGCTTAAACAATGGAAGGATATTTCACAGAAAATTTCTTATACAAAAAACACATAAGAAAAAGGGCCACTAGGTGACATTTTAATTTACAAATTGGCATCATTTTGGTCAACAAATATCCAAGTGCTGTTTTCTTCTATCACAACAAAGTAGCTGTACAGAAAGAAAACTGCAAAACGTGTTTTATTTTATTTTTTTTTAATCGCACATCTCCTCAGGAATTTCATGTGGATTAAGGATGCCAGGTACAGACATCTGAAGTTTATGTTTCTCCTCTTGAGCCTGCCGAAGGGCTGTTTCTCTTTCCTCCAAGAATAAGTCTGACGTGTCTTCACCTGCAAATTCCTGTATAATTCACATAAAAGCATTAGTTTATTGTCAAATGCTTTAGGCGGAGTAGTAAATTTCCAAAACCCAGGACGACACATAAAACATCTTTCCTCCACATTCCCTGCCAGCCTATTTGCTTGTTTTGCTTTCTGTTCCTAAGGTCAGAATTAATATAAAGGAATGCAAAATATTTTAAAGATTTTCACTGTGTTACAGAACACAGGATGCTATAATAACCCAGCGTTTGGAGTGTATCACCATTACAGCAGTATCATTACAATTTTGAAATACCTGACGATTGCAGTCTCAAAACTAATTAACAACCTCTTTCCTACAGTCTTCCTGAATTCTAGCATCTTTAGAAAAATAAACTCTAGCAAGTTTCAAAACATGTCCCAAGCAGAACTGAAACAAAATCTGGATTAAGATCACACTGAAATAGATTACATGATACACTAGAGTCATGGAAGCCATTTGACAGTTCTCACTACATTTTAAACAGCTGCAAAATAACTTGTATCTCCTAAGCAAACACTGAATGAACACTGTCCCAAGTACTTTGCAACAGTGCTGAATAATCATTTTTCATTTCTTGGGGAAAAAACGCACACCAAACATACCTTGATTTGGACCAGGAAATCCCTTAGGTGTTCCTTAAAGGCAGGAATATCCTGGTTTAGGCTGAAGAGTCCCGTTACAAACAGCTTAACCTGGGCACTAACAGTAAAAACATCAGTCAGTATTTCAAAACATAAGAACCCACTTCAAAGTGCTAAAAAAAAAAAAACCAAAAAACCTTTTTAAAGGTTTTTTAAATTAAAAATTAAAAAAGAGTAAGCACACTTACTCTTGCAGGTGAGGAAATGCAGATTTGAGAAGATTAGCGACATACTCCTGGATAAACATCTGGTTGCTCACTGGATTTCCAGGGTTTAATGGAGTACTTATTTTTCCTTCCTCTACTAAGTTGAACATATATGCAAGGATTGATGCATGCATTGTCAAACCTGAACAGATCAAAGTCATACGTGTGCAGTTATTATTCAGAACAGCGTGTGTAACAGTATTTTGATGTTCAAAAGGATTGTTTTCATCAACCGGCTCACATATACGCATTCTTACCAGCAGTGTGCGAGGTGTCTGTTACAACCGAGAAAATGTGCTGAAGGATATCACAGAAATATGTCTGATAGAAACTCTGGGCAGCAGTCTCTTCTTGTGCAACATTCTGTAGTAGAGTATAAAGTATCTGAAGTCCTAGAAAAATACGCATTAAAACACTAGGTTACCACCAGAACAGTACTAGAACACCTCTGTGCATATTTCTGCTGTTTCCACGATGACACAAGCATACCAAGAAATTCTGATAGGCACTGAAAAGACAAGCATTACATGTGTAATGGTTTTCTCAGGCATTTCCTCAAGCAGCCACTAGAGGACTACAGCCACAGTTACATGGCATGCCGATTTTATTTGTATTATTAGATGACAGAAGCATAAAGAACCCATCGCATCACTCTGTTGGTACCAGTGAAGGTGAGAGAAACCCTCTACCAAAAGAGGTGTTTGCTAATTCAAGAAGGGAAAATGTTTTAGTTTTTAGAATGCCATGAAAGCTTAAATTACTTTATTCAGTGAAATGCAACTGAAAGGTACTTTTTATCCCCATCCCTTCCAAACACTGATACAAGACAATTGGCTAAAACCTAAGTGGCTTCACAACAGTTTTTTTTTAATCCAGTAGTCAAGATAGTGCACCAAGCCCAAGATGTTAAAAAAAAAAGAATGGTTTTCAAATTTAAGACTTTTATATAGCCTCTCCTAGTCTCCCTTGAGAACTGTCATTCTGGGGGGCTTTTTAATTACTCAAGTCTGTCAGCTGCACCATGAAGTTTCATCTTAAGTTTAAACAGCTTGCTGCTGTCTAAAGGAAGCATAATTCCACTTCTTAACAATCTAAGGCGTTTGTTTCCCTTTCCATATGCCGTGGGCTCGCTCCCAGACCGTGAGGTCAGCTCCCACCCCAATCATTTGCTTTTCTGCTGGACTTTTCAGTAGTTCCTGAGCAACTGTCTTATTGAGGTATTAAGTCAAACACTGCAGGCAGCACTACAGAAGTAGAGCTGTAACACCAGCTCTAGCAGCAGTGAGCTACTGCATCAGTTCAGCCATTTCAGAAACATGCCAACCCTCACATGGAAAAGAAAGCAAGCAGAAACTCTTAACAGTGCTCTCTTACAGCTACAGGAGTGAAAGAGCATCCAAGTATTTCAGCCCACTCATGGATACCTGGCTGACAACTTGAAGCCGAGACAGAAGAATATTATTCTTGTGCAAATGCAGTACAGTATCGTATGACTGGAATGCTAAGTTTGACTAAAGAAAAATCTGCAAGAAAACGTCATTCTACCAGAAAGATATCCAATACTGCAAACAAAGTCTGCATATTAAACGCTTCCATTTACCTGTATCTGCAACATTTCTCATTGTATGTTTGAAAGCCCAAATAATAGAATCCAGAACAAGTTTGAACTGTGCGGGTGGAATTGCCAGGAACGCTGGGAAGCAATGAGAATTTACAGCCTGGAGCAGCAAGAAGAAATTTGTTCTGTGTTCAGGATATTCTTCAAAGTCCTAGAACAAGAGAGCGGAGGGAAAAAAGTCAAGTTTCCTAAAGGTCCATCATAAGATCTGCTGTTAAGCAGAGCAAGTCAATAGCTGACATAAAGCAGCATTTAGATACCACGTTTAAAATAACCTTAAATGCAAAGCAAAGCTTACATTCCTCAGAGCACTTTTTTCTCTCCCAGTTTTCCCCACCAAAGCTTAGTAAGACCATCTTCTAGAGTTACACAACATTGACAGGCTGAGCCACGTTTTGTCAGTACACAACCTTAATCACTACTCAGTCCACAGATACAGACAGATGGTCTCAACACTGGTTAAGAACCTGCATTGCTACAGGGCTACAATTTCGGGTTACACCCTATTGCAAAGTAGCACTAATTCAGCCGGTAGTGCCCAAGTATTGCGCAAATACATATTGCACACTATAGCGTAAGAAGTGCGTTAGTGAGGAAATACTCCAAGTGACTGATCAGTACTTATAAATTTTAAATATTTGTTAATTTTAGCAGTTAGTCCTACACTGACATTTAACTGAAGTACACTTATGCTTCCTGAAGCATGACATTCCAAGTCCCCAGAACAGAAAAATCACTAATGACTTTAATCAAGAGCTAAGCAGAGAAATTTAAGGCAATGAGATTAAGAGATCCAACTAGATAGCCAGATTTCAAAACTAGTACATTCCTTTGAGCAGAAATTTCTTCAAGTGCCACAAATGCATTTTGTGACTGCAAAAACACAGGGAGATGAACCACAAGACACCACATATGGAAATGATATTCACAGAAAGAAGGCATGAACCCCCGTTTTGTTTCCATAAGATGAAAACTGTGTAGTAACTCTACATTCACTATGTACTGCTTCCCTTCATTGCAAGAAAAGGAGATCTTTCATTTAGAGATGTACCAACAGCCAAGACCAGTACTCTTGTAAAACCCCATTTTTTTGGTCTTCAGTCACTAGGGAGATGCCTTATCCAAAGTTTAAATATAAATACCTTGTTGATCATATTTAATGTGCACTCAAAAACAGCATCAAATATCTGAGGTATTTCAGCAGTAATGTGTCCACCCAGCTTGTTTACAATTATAGCCATAGTACTAAGTACTTCAGGTTCTCTAGCGGCTGGAACATTTCTCTGGTAGTCAATGAGAACGGCATCCAACAAGGGAGGCACGAAGTTTTCAGCTACCTAATTGAAAAAGCATGCCATGGTTATAACAATGCAGTTATTGAACAGAGTCTCTAGCATACAGTTTATAGCAACGTGCACTTACAGGAGATAGTTTTCCTAAGTTGAAATACATGATACTTCCATTAAACCCCCCACGCTCTGTATCCATCCAGCAGGGCTTCTGGTAGGGTTCTCTTAAACCTCCTTGATGCCCTTTAAGATTACTCTCACCTAAAGTTAACTGAAGTATCTCAAACATAGCTCAGGCTTACCTCTGTATGGTCACACTTTCTCCTTTATATTTTACAGACCTCCTGAAGCAAGTTCCTGTGACCAATCAATTCAGTCAACAACAGAATAAAACCCAGAGTTCCTCCTAATTCTCTCTTACAAGTTATTTGTATAAAATGAGTAACTTACCATCTGAGGATCATTGGACCTGCTCACCCAGCCAGAAATTAGTTTTAAAGTTTCCCTTTTTACAGTCCTCATACTTCTAATCAAGGGCTGCTTTGTTACCATTTCACCTGAAAAGTTTTGAAGCTTCAGTTAATTGGGTAAAGTGTAACAAAAAGCTTAACTTAAATTGCTGCAGAGAATGCTTGATTTTTATATCCAGACTACAAAGGCTATTAAAGACTTCTTATGCATATTGTGCAAATAAAAACTACCACCTCCCCATTCTAACTCCATAGGTTCAAGTTGCTATTTAGCATTACAAAACTACTATTGACAGTACCCTAGTTAGAGTTCAAAAACAAAGCTGCAACTTACTTTTTAAGTTAGGGAAATCACACATATTCACTTAACTACATGGACTGAGCTTACATCTGGTTCTGATTAAATGATGACAGGGGAGAACAAGAAAGTTCCTGATTTCATCTAAGAGAAATAATCCTTCCACCCATCTTTGTGTGTCAGCTCCACACTTATCCTTAAGAAGCCTTATCCTTCATTCAGTTTCTTAGCCCTAAATCAATCTCGTCTCATCAGCAAAACCTGATCTAATTAACTGCACAGCCATACAATCACTATAGTACATGCACGGGAAAAGCCGATGAGCACAGCCAGAAAAAGAAAGGTGGCATCCCTCGTGCTGGCATCAGGGCCATCCCTGGCAGGATACAGCCAGTTGTAAAAACATACTCTGAGGCAGATGCAATCACAGTAGTTACTGATCAAGAAGCACATCAGGACTACAGTCCTAGCAACTGCTTCCTGAACTTCACCATTTCCGACAAGGACAAATTCTGGCCATTAGAGCTGCAGAATCAAAAGGTATGGTTTTCTCAGCCAATTTTATTCTGAATTCTGAGAAGCTACTTCAAGGTAAACCAGTTGCTCAATTACCAGATTTTATTTAACATTCACATTTCCAAATATCATCATCTGCACCAGCAAGAAAACTGGTCATAACACAGGACTCAATAACTGACTCATTTAATCTTGTAATGAACTACTACAGAAGTACATTCTACTGAGATACCCTAGGCCCTAATTTATCTAGTAAAAATAGGTTAGGCAATTGATAATTCCTTCTCAGTAACTGCAAGCCTGGTTTATCATGACTTTCACGCACCTTCACTGCACAGTTACTTCTCTGTAATAAAGCTATTTAGTAGCACAATATCATACCAAAACCCTGCCAACATCTTTGGGGAAAAAATGAATGAGCTTCTATTTAAAGATAGTCTTTTAATATTCAAAATTAGAGTAAGCTGAAAGAATACATGCTACAACTTTGTCTCAGCAAGATGCCTATTAATTCTAAGTAACTAAAGTGTTTTGCATCACTGCTAAAATTTCTTGTTTATAGGTGTTTTTTCTCCCTCTAAAATCAGGAGTTCTTTATTTAAATAAAGCATCTGGTTAACAAAAGATCTAAGCAAGCACTTTCAGTCGTTCTCCACTTTCCCAAACAATAAAATGACAACAGTAAAATTAGCCTAGTTGGAACACACTCTGAAACCTGATGACATACACTGCGCTAACCCCCATTTTCAGGAAGAACATGGAATTTCTTACCATTAGCCTGAATAGCTGCAGAAATATTTTCACTTAGGCACTTGTACACATTCAGCATATCTAAATAAATTCTTCCAAGCTGAATCACAAAGGGATGGCCAACTGCTTTACACGCTCTTACATTGGTTTTCAGAATGCTACCAAGCTGCTTAACTGTTTCAGGATCCTTTAGAATATCAACATTCTGTTAAAAAAGTTAAAAGTCCATTTTGTTTAGTGCATAAAACTGCCCTTGAGCTTTCAATATAAAAGTGTAAGTTTCAATAATTTATCTTACACACTGCATTAAAGAACATATCACTGAAGTTTACAGACTTTAAATATAATGCAGTTTACTTCATGGCACTTGGCACTATGTCAAACAAAGTCAGGATAAAACATCAACTGATTTTAATTCTGCTCTTCTGCAGAAGTATTTTTGCCACGGTGGTACAAGCATTACTCTAGCTGAAGAAAGAAAACGACCTAAGAAGGAGGAGAGACTAGGAAGATGAAAACAGACAGAAGTGGTCCAAAGGATAGGCAGTCTGTTCTTGTTTTAAGAAGGAAGCCAGAATTAAGAAACATTAACTCAAGCTTACTTAAGTTTCAGGATCTTAGTTAGGTTAACTCCAAATGGACTGATCTCTTGTGCAGTGCAAGACTGTTTTTCTTTTATGTGTGGAGGTAAAGTATTTTGAAGAGAGTGAAAGAAATGGAGCATAAAACAAACAACAATGTACTTTAAGAGAATGATGGAGGAGAAAGGAGGAAGAGTGAACAGTATGTTTAGCATTTTATTTTTTCTGTTATTCAGAAAACCAACCCACTTCTGAGTCAGATGAAAGGGAGGCTTGGAAAAAACTACTAAAACATATTCTGTACAGTAACAGGAAATTGTCCTTTAAATCAGATTAAAACCAGTATTTATTTTGTCATTTAAGTCTCCTCTCTCAAAACAACACTTTTACTGTCACATCAATCACTGCTTTAGCCATCATTTAATAAAGTCCACCACAGCTATGCACACTTAACGTCATGCCATGTGAAAAATAAACCCAGGGTAAGAGAAACATTTAGCAGGTTTTCTTCACCTGAACATAGCACACACTTAAAATTTATGAGCTTACTTTTGTTGCCTGTTGAATTATGCTGTCCCATACTTGATTAGGTAGCAACATGTATTTTTCTATCAGATGCTCCTGCACAGTCTGGTCTGTCTGTGCCCCAATCATGTATCCTACTGCTTCATAGAATGTATGCACCTGATTGGAGCAACAACAAGAAGTTAAACAGGAAGGTTAAAAAGGGGTAAGGAAAATCTTACACTGTTTTGAACTAACATATAGTGAAGGCTGAAAATGGGTTTCACTGTCTAAATACCCTTTTCCTCTCCTGACTTTACAAGATTCTCTGTTCTCACCTTACTTCCACATCATGTATGAAACAAACCTCCATTCTCTTCCCTTCAAATGCCAGTACATGCAACCTAATTTTTCCTCATTTTGCCATCATATCCCGAAGTGAGGAACCTCAGACACACACCGTTTAACTACGTATTACCAGACATGTTTAAACTGTGGAACCGACTACATGACTCAAAGTTTGAGTACCCTTTTCCAGATGCCACAACCACTCTGCCCAAAGTTTCAGTACATCATTGCAACATCTCAGTGTGTCTCGCATGTGTGCGCCACACTCTCACTTCACGAGCTGTGCCCTTCCTAGACAAAGGCAGTTTTGGATTGTTCCCTGCCCCCCCCTTCACAGCTACAGGTATACTATTATAGTAGGATATTGCTATTTCTCCAATCAGAACCACAAAAACAGATTCACCATCTTATTTACTTGTTAAAACATTCCAGCAATTGAAATTCCAACTAAATGCATTTTAATTCTCCTTCCAAGCATTCTGACCAAGATCTCAGTAAGGCAACCCAATCATACTATTGATACCATAATACCATCACTAACAAAAAACTAAGAAATACAATTCAAGCCTTGTAAACCACTACTGCCTTTCAATGTGAAACAACTCTTGATTAGTCTTTAGGAACTATCCACAACACTGAATTAAACATACCTGTTGTGGCTGAAGATCACAGATGATTGTGTTGATATTGTTCAAGATTTCATCAATAAATGGCATGACCTCTCCTACTTGAACCTGAACGAAATGTCGGCGGCATTTTTGTGCTATTTTTATGAAGGTATCACAAGCCATATCCTGGACGCCATCATGGGTTTCTAAATTAAATCAACTCAGTTACTGCTTTGTATTTTTCCCCCTGTACACGTGCATGTATAGGCAATTTTTTTTTTTTTTAGTAATTGAAACAGCAAGGAAACCCCAGATAATTACCGTGCATAAATTCAAACAGCTTGTTGACTACAGTCTTCAAAAATTTCCAGTGAGCTCTCAAAAACCGTGGGTATTGACCTACTATATACATTATATTTGATGCAATAATGGCTTTATTGTCTTTTCCTCGCTTTTGTTCACAGAGTCCCAGGAGATCCTACAAAATAACATACTTTGAGTTTCATCTCCAAGTTTGTCCAGTTAAACTAAAAGCACTACAAGACAAAGCATAAAAATTCTACAAGGAGCTGTATAAAGGAAGGTGGTTGCCATCCTCAAGTTCAAAGTCTAAATAAAAACCAAACAAAAAACCCATATGGGTTAAGATTGGGGTAATGCAATTATTTAAGTTTCAACCAAACCAGGAACACTGTGTTTTCAACTATGGAATCCTCATATTAAATGTAACTAAAGATCTCTGCAGGAGGGACTTCAACAAGCCTCACACTATTGTATTCTGATCAAGCATTTGATACCAATAAAAATACAGACTCCATACCAAATAGAAGAAATTAAACTAAATATTCTGCACAAATTTGTACGACTTACTCTCATAAAGAATGTTTTCTTCCTGCCCTCTTCTGTGCACATTTTTATCAAAACTTCATTTTGGTCAATGAATATTTGGAAGAGGGCAGAGTGGCAGTGTGCCAGCTAGTTGAAAATGTGGGTTATTTTGCCACTCTCCTTTATTTCATTAGCAATGCTTTTCCATCTCTTCTGCACCCCCAAAGAAAAGTACTTCACCATAAACTAAATTTTACCCCTTAAAAGTTTTCACCACAAAGAGGCTACTTGGATTAATGTGCTGTTCACCGCTAAAGAAGTTACCAGCCTTAAATTCAAGATACGAGATTATCCCTTAAATTAATCTTGACCAACTTGCTTGCCATACAAGGTAGCTTACTAGGAACATACAGCAGTATTTTTGTAAATTTAGTTTCTTCAGCATAAACTATGACAGGTGACAAAGATATTAGTTTTGCAACATGATACCTTAATTACTGTAACAAGAAATCTTTTTTCATCTTCTTCATGCATTGCACCACTGATTGAGCCTATAGCCCAACAGAGGGTATTCAAATTTTTCCACGACCATTCTGTTCCATTCACTTGATTGTGAAGTTTTTCAGTCATAATTCGTTCCGTGTCTGCATAATCCAGATGTGTAAGGTAAACTGAAAGACATCAACATGTTTTAAAGCAACAACCTGGACCACAACTCCACGGGCAAAGTTAAATTCTTCTATTTTAAAAACACCACCACCACAATTAAATTATTAGTTAAGTGCAATGCTTCCTCCCTGAACTCATGGACAGAACAAGCTAAAAATTTCAACAAATATTTGTTAAAACTGTATTTTAAAGACAGACAACAAATTTTCTTGAGAATTTTTGTTTGTTCCAAGAGGTCTCAGCAAAACACCACATGCAAGTGATGTGGCAAGTCTAAGTCAATGAAGGTCTCGCATACCAATTGAATCAGTAAAGTTGCTAAGTTAAATTATTAACAAAAGGCAAACATACTCATGGTCTATAGAGAATATGGGATTGGCTACCTATGGGAGACATACAGTGTCTAAGAAGTCAACCCATTTCCTTCTGCTCTTTATTTCAGTGTCATTAAGTCTGCTGGTTGCAATAACCCACCATTAAAGTAGAGACAGTATTCCTAAACAAGTCTAGGTGGGAAGATTCAAGTATCACAACTCGGATACTTGCATCAGCCCTTAATAGGATTAGTGTCTCTAATATAAAATTCTAAATCCCAGCAAGTGCAATTTAAGGCCAGATTAAGAAATACATTTTTACAGTGCCACAGCATACAGTTTCTACCACAGATTATTTTTTTAAAGCGAAATCTTAAAGATAATACACCATAAGCAATAGTTAATACCAGAAATCAAATACTAACTAAATCTGCATTTCTGTATAAACAAACCTGTACCTGCAAGCATGATTAAGGCTCAGGAGGTACAGTAATGATTTTAATACAATAAATTAAACAAAAAAGTTCCATATGAGAAGTCACTAGAACAATTAATCTAACACTAGCTGTACCTCCTATATCACAAGTACAAAGGTGAGAATAAAAAAAGTTCCACAACCACTTTGCATCACACAGCTTTTCCCCTCCAACTTCTAGTTCATAAGCCCGTTACTAAACACTCAGTGTTCCCTTAGAGCATTTGCGTTTGATAGAAAAGTATTTAGTATGGAAGGTTGGATGTCCTAAACATGTGACAATTCTAATCCCCTCTACCTCTTCAAGTTGCAGTTATGAGACTGAAATTTTCTTCTTGCCTCAGAAAACCCCTAAGTTATCACTACAATCCACAGGGACTATCAGTTCACTGGCAAAATGGTCACAGTTGAACATGAGACTTCTGAAGAAGACAGTATACTAGCATACACATGCTAAAAAGAAAATATACTTTCTACATTAAATGCTATAGAAATACCGATTCTGATGTTTTTCAGTGCACTCGCATCTTTCCCTTTTTTTTTCCTACACATGTAATTAACCGCAGCTTTTGTACTTTCACGCAAGATCATTATAAGACCTCAGCACTACCTTTGGAAAAGATTTTTGAAGCTTAAATTCAGGCTAGAATTTTCCATTTTGTTTAAGAACACTATAAAAATTTTTAAAAGTATTCTGAAGACCTAATGAAAGAAGAAATCAGTTTTGCTATGGAGTGCTTGGTCTACACAAGACTACAAGTGAAGTAATAACCTGCAAGTTAGAAAAATCCTTCCAATTTAATATTCTTTCTGACAAAACCAAAGTTTCATTGGATCTGAAACATTTTGGTAAAGGAATATCAAAAGGTGTTGTTCAATGGGAAAAGGCAACTGTATTACTACTTGACCTATATTACTGTTAACCTGTATTACTATTAACTACTTCTACAACACTACATGATTAAAACAGAAAAATTCAGACCAACACTGCCTCCTCCCTTTTAAGTTTGTATACTACTCCTCACTGCTAATGATTTCACCCACACACAATTCAGATCATAGGCTAACATTCTGTAACATACAGGCTGCTGAGGCAGCTGCGCAGACCTATAACACAAGAATACCAGCTAGTACACTTACCCAATGTTTCTCTCATATTTTTATACAAGTTTATGGAATCTGTATCCTTCATGAATTCTCGTACTACTTCCCCTTGATCATTTTCCACAACTAGGACTTCTTCAGGTTTAGCCATTCGGCTAACCATTAGCAATCGAACCTGTACATTGCAAAGAAAAGTTAAAATTGAAGCAAACTGTAACATGAAAATACACCCATAGCTCCACAAGTGTTTCCAAAGCACCCTGGTCAGGCGATCTGACACGTATTAGGGATCTATCCAGAACTTCATGAGATTAGCTCACATTAAGATTCTATAGACGCATATTAACAAAAAAGCCGTTAAGATTAGAGCCTGCTGATTTCTCTCTCCCCATGAACAAGTTGAGTAGTAAGAAAAAAAACAAACCCAAAACCCAAACAAAAAACCCGCAACCTATGAAGCATACTTTCTAGAGCTTTATAATGCATATGTAATATTAGGGGTCTTTGAAGATCACTTTTTCCATACACACACATTTTTCTCCAACTGTAACACTCCAGTCTATCTGTTTAAAAAAGCAGTTTAATGCAGTTTTTTTTTAATTAGTTTTACATTCATAATAAGCATCTTAAAAAAACCTGAAACGCCACATTAATACTCCTGCCATATACTGGTATCATCTTGAAGTATTTTCACAATTGCAGCACATTATATAAGTGGAGTTGAATTCATTACCAGCTACTCAAAGCAAGAAAAGTTTTCTGATGTCATCCCTTACATGAAGCAAAATCTTTACATTCAGGAATAGTATCTAAATCATTACAGTACTTTTACTTAAGCATGGATTACCTTGGACAATACAGGCAAATAAAGCTGTCTCCTTGGAGGAACATCGAAGTGTTGACTTCCCGAAAGCAATGGAGAAGCAGATGTTGAAAATGGACTTTCCCTATAGAGCTCAGCAGCTAAATGATTCCAATATTCAAGACAAATCTTGAAAATTTCTGTTTCTTCAACTTCTGATACCAATAGCATGTAATGAAGAGCCTGAAAAAAGTGTGGTTTAAACATCTGATTACTAATTATTCCTGCAGATAAAACCACATTGCTTCAAGCCCTGTTATTTAAATACTGATAAAATGCCAAATTAACACAAAAGTTAGGAACAAAGAGGCATTAACATTGCAATGACACTACTTACAAGACAGAGTTCTGACCGGAGGAGCAACTCAAAGCAAGCACCCTGTCAATTACTGAGTTTTCAAAGTGTGTATCAATTCTTAAATCTAAAGTAGCCTTAAGACATCTTCAAGAACCCCATAGCCAAATCAGCCTGTTTGTATCAAACTCACAGCCTCTGGAGCTTCCACATTTTGTCTGAGAGCCTCAAAAAACCCTGCAACAGCTAGTTCAAATGACTGCTATTCTCAAGACTATTACTGCTATTTCGTTCTGGATCCTTACACCCTGAAGAACTGAAGGCAACCATCAAAGCCATACTGCTCACTTGCTTTCTACAGAGGTCATCTACCAGAACATTTTCAACTTCTTCACTGACAGAACACCCAGAGCCAACTGAGAAGGGAAGGCCACTGATGCAATTCTGACAGACTCAGATACCGACCACAGAAATTAGAACTACATAGCCAAACATTTTTTGCCTAGCTTAATTTTCAGTCCCCTGGTGAAAAGTATCAAACTCATCAGTGAACAAACAGAAGGAAACAAAGAAATCTGAAGACATGTTCATAGCTTAGGTACTACAGCAACTCAAGAGTGTTTTAGATGGTAAAGACCTGATTCAGCATCTGTATCTACAACGTCAAAAGAGGGATAAAAAACAACCATACATTAGTCTTATACACATCAATTCTCTTGGTAATTCCACTTGCAATAATTTATGTAGCTTCCTTCACTAGCCTACACAGCTCCAATGAATCCGAGGAACAATTTCAGATGATCTACTACGACCCAAAGTGCAGGAATAAACAGGTTAGAATGACACAGAACTTTTTGAAGTACCTGTGTAACTACGTTCTATTACATTGCAACTCACAGAAGTGAAATTTGCAACCATTTTAGGCCAGCCTAGGAACTTTGCTGAACATTTCATCATTCTATACAAGACAGAAAGTAATTCAGAACTGACTCTTACAAAAGCCTTTTTTTAAAGTAGAATTTCACATAGTTACACTGGACAAGAGAGAAAGCCAATACCTAAAAACTGCACTCCAACTTACACGTAATTGCACAGGACATGCAACAGCTTCAGCTGTTTACACAGGTCTTCCTAACAAAGCCTCAACATAAGTACAGACATGAGCTGTGCTCCCCCAATTCACAGTTATTTAGAAAGCTTACTACTTGCAAGTTCAGAAATTGTTCAGAAATTATTGGGGAACTGCTGATAGTTGTTGTTTTTAAAATAAAAAAGTGATACTCCTCTTAAGCCCATCTTCTAAATGAGGTACAATTCGATATTCAGAACCAATTTATTTTTATATATATATATA